TAAAAATTTAAAAATCCCCAGGTGGAACAGAGGTTAGGTAAAACTCTTGAAGACATTGGGGTAGGGAAAGACTTTATGAACAAAACCTCAGTTGCCTGTGAACTAGCATAAACAATCAACAAGTGGGATCTCTTTTTACTAAAAAACTTCTGCACAGCAAGAGAAACCACCAGCAGTGCGAAGAGACAACCCACAATGTGGGAAAAAATTTTCACCAGCAGTCCCTCAGACAAAGGTCTACTATCTCGAATCTATAAAGAATTTAAAAAAAAATCAGACCTCCCAAATTTAAAGACCCAATCCAAAAATGGGCACCTGAAATGAACTGACATTTCTCACACAAAGAAGTAGACATGGCAAATAAACATATGAAAAAATGTTCAACATCACTGGTCATTCGAGAGATGCAAACGAAAACAACGTTGAGATTCCACCTCACTCCAGAAAGAATGGCTGCTATCATGAAATCAACCAATAACAAATGCTGGCGGGGCTGTGGGGAGAGAGGAACACTGCTCCACTGCTGGTGGGAGTGTAGACTGGTGCAACCACTGTGGAAATCAGTATGGAGATACCTCAAAGAACTAGGACTGGAAGTTCCATTTGACCCAGCTATTCCTCTGCTGGGGATCTTCCCCAAAGAATTAAAAGAATCATACCACAGTGATGTATGTGCACCCGTGTTCATAGCAGCACAGTCTATAATAGCTAAAACTTGGAAACAGCCCAAATGCCCATCAACTGGAGACTGGATCAAGAAAATGTGGTTTTTTAATAAAATGGAATACTACTCAGCCATCAAAGATGAGAAATTAGAGGCATTTATTGCTAAATGGATGCACATTGAGGCGATATTCTTAAGTGAAATTAACAGGACACACATGTGTAAATACCAATAGCTTCTCTAGTATGAGAAACTGAAAGTGTAAATAAGGACTAAAAGGTATAATAGATAATGTGAAATATGAAGAAAAGGGGCAAAGGGGAGGGGAAAGTGAGAGGGGTAGGGGAAAGGAAAGAAGTGAATGGAATTAATATGAGAAAATGAAAAAATGGAAACAAAGTCTTTGTAAATAGGGAGGGATGGAGGGGTTGAAGGGAGGGCAGAGGAAGGGGGAAAAAATAAGAACCAAGAGAGTATGTAAAAGTGCCTATCTCCAATGATGAATGTCATTATATTGTACACCTGAAATGTACCAATAAAAGGATATACAAAAAAATAAAATAAAATAAAATCCCCGGGCGGCTGTGTGCACATTATAGTTTGGGAAGCCTTGAATTGAAAGAAAATTTGGGCTCAGAAGGTCCTTGTCAAGGCCTTTGAAATTTCATGAAGAAAACTACACAACTTCCTTGAGCCCAAGTGCAGAACGTGTCCTTGCGTGGGGTGACTTGGTGGGTGAGGACTTCAATTCCCCAAAACATAGAATGGATCAAAATGATTTGTGAAGGTGATCTGAAAGAATAAATAGACAGGCATTGGATTTTTTCTCTCCTCTTTTCTTTTAAAAGATAAAAATAACAAGGTGAGATTCACCCTATCAGAAATGGTGCTAAGGTGCTGGGATGTCGCTCAGTGGTAGAGTTCTTGTCTACCATGTGCAAGGTGCTGGGTTCCATCCCCAGTACTGCAAAAACACCAAAAACCAAAACCCAAAAAAGGTACTAAATAAGATTTGAGGTTCTAGAAGAGGAGGATGAGTTTGCGATATCATTACTATTGAGTGAATTGTGTCTCCCTCAAACTCATATGCTGAAGCCCCAACTCCTTCCCCAAGCAGAGCACAAAGGAAAGACTGGGAGACCATCTGTTTCCTCATCCAGTAAAATGGGAGTAAGAATATCATTTATGGCACCGTTATGAGCACTGAATGAAATACTTCAATAATTACTTAGCACAATGCTTTACCTTTCACAGATGTTTAATGAATGCCAGTGACAATGAGAACAGCTATGGCACTGGGGCAAGACCCATAGGAAAAGATCAACAGGACAGATTGGGTGACCCAGAAACACACTCGGCACTTCTAGAAGCTCCTGGAGAGAGGTGAGGGACCCTGTTTTTATTCAACATTGTGTGGTTTCCCCACACCTAACTGATGGATGGCTCACAGTAAGTGCTTAATAATATTTCCTGACTGCCTGAATTAGAATTTAATACATGCTAAAGAAGGATTCATAAATTAGCATCCTAAGAAAGAGCTATTCTTTCAACAATACTGGGAAAATTGCTTAAGTTTTGGATTCAAAAAATAAGATTCTATCATTTTATCCTATCAAAGGGCTTGCAAACTTTTAACCATTACCTACTGTGAGAAATATGTGAGACATCTCAGCCCAGGAAACACACTCATAAATATATGAGATTTGATACAAAAGCACTAATACTGCGAATGTTTAAATTTTTAAAAATTATGACTGCAAGGCGGGGATTTAGCTCAGTGGTTCCGCTACCTGCCTCGCAAGCGCAAGGTCCCGAGTTCGATCCCTGGTACCAAAAGAAAATTATGACTGTAAAAGACACATTGTTATTAATCCTCTTCCAAACACTCCCCCTCCCTTTGAGCACACTTATCCCACTGTTCTTGCCACTTTCTGAAGCAGTTCTGGAAATCCTCTTTCTTCAGTTGCCCTGGTCATTCAAAATGTTGACCTTTTATGGTATTTTGACTACGAGGAAGAGCCAAAAGTCACATGGTGCCAGACCCTGGGAATAAGGTGGAGGAGGACACACTGCACGGTTTTTATTTGGCAGAAATTGTCATAAATGTTTCAAAATGATTCGAAACATTAAGGCAGCCATGAAAAATGTAACCAAAGACACCAAAGAGGACTTCCAGAACTGCTTCAGAAAGTGGACAGAAGGGAGAAGTGTGTTCAAAGTGATTGGGAGGATTTTGAGGGGAATTAATGGCAATGTGTCTTTTGCTGTAATAATTTTAAGTTTAAACATTCACTGTATTTTTTATCACATCGCATAAATTCATAAATAAAACAAAAATTCATAGAGTAATTTTTATCTTTAGTATGTCAGGTGGGCTCTTTTTTTTTTTTTTTGGCTCCGGGGATTGAACTCGGGACCTTGCCCTTGCAAGGCAGGCTGTGGAAACACTGAGCTAAATCCCCGGCCCAGGTGGACTCTATTTTATCTTCTGTTCTCTTCTCTTGTATTCCTTTTTATTAAAAACAAAATTTTGGTCTTTACTCAGTAAATTGATTTTACAACTCATGGATGAGCAGCTACTAGTAGTTTGAAGACTACTACTTTATACCCAAATTTCCAATTTAATAAAATAATAAATAGGTACTGGGGTCCTGAGAAAGTTCTTGAGAATTTTATAATATGGAAAAAAATCAGAGGCAAAGATCAGCAAGTGTGATCACATGAACAGTTTGTACCTCTGTTGTGAGAATGCATACAGGAAAAGCAGCAATGACTCAACTCGGTGGCAAGTGGCCATCGCTGGAGGACAGAGCCCCGTTTTTCTTACACCTCTCTTCTTCACGCCTACCCATGGCGACCCATGAACAAATCCTGCGCATGCGCCTCCTGTGATGCTCTTTCCTGCCTTCATAGTCCAGCTCATCCTTTTGTCTACCTGCCTGGCCATCACTGCCTTCTGACTGGGGCCCTGCTTTGCCCCTCACCCAATAATCTTGTCTCCCCAAAGCCTGAAGAGGAGTTTTTTGAGGTATAAATGAAATCACTTCCTTATCTTTTTTTTTTTTTTTTGTACTAGGAATTGAATGCAGGCGTACTCTACTGTTTCATGACATCCCCAGACCCTTTTTATTATTTCTTTCTTTCTTTCTTTATTTATTTAAATAAACCTTTCCTCTTTATTTTTTATTTATGTTCTTTTTTTTTTTTTTGGTACTGGGGATTGAACTCAGGTTCTTGTGCTTGCACAGCAGGCAGTGAAACCACTGAGCTAAATCCCCAGCTTTATTTTTTAATTAATTTATTTTTGGTACCAGGGATTGAACTCAGGGCCTTTGTGCTTGCCAGGCAGGTGCTGCACCACTGAGCTACATCTCCGCCCCTGGAATTGCTTTCTTAATTGCCACCTAGCCCACTTCTAGCCCCTTTGTGGGTCTCTTCCCCAGTTCTGTCACCCCAAAGGTAGAATGAGTTATTTAGAGTAGGGTGGGACCAACTGGATGTGCTGGGTGTGGTGTCCACACCTGTGCCCTCCAAGCCCTGTTGAGGGGTGGGATGGAAGAATGGGATTGGAGGAGGGACAGGATCAGTCCCAGGAAAAACCCTGAGGAGTCCAAGAATGCTAAATTTAAACTGGGCCTTGCGGGTTGTGGAGAAAGTGTATTTGTCAGGACAGGAGGACGAACTTTTGACTACGTGGGCTACAGGCCTCTCTCTAGTTTAAGCTTTTGGCTGGGAAGGCCGATCAGGTGACAGAGACTGCCTCCAGCAGGGATCTTCTTCCTGTGGATGGAGGAGGGGTGACAACACACAGACTTTTGGAGCCTGAGCCCCACTAAAACTTGATCCTACAATCTTTGAAGCTTTGATCAGAATGCAGTATGGGGAGAAAATAAAAAGCTATCGTTTGAAAGCTGATGTTAATCCATTTTTATAGTAGGAAAATTGTTGGAGGGGACTTTTAGATATGCAAATGTACCAAGGAGGTCCTCTTCTGAACTGGAGGTGACTGTGTGTGGCTCTGGGGCTCCCTGGAGGGCCAGATAGAGATAGTGGCCTGTGTCCTAAGCAGAAAAACATCTGCCCGCCCAGACTGGGCCTGGAACTCTTTATCCTCTTACCTCAGTTTCTCAAGTAGCTGGGGTTACAGGCACGTGCCACCATGCTGGCCGGAAAGCTTCACTTCGGAGCATATTTCCTTTTAAAATTTTTTATATAGAATTTAATTTATACACTTAACATTTAATTAATGATTGCCATGAGCCAGATACTATGATAAGCACTTTACTATAATTATCCCATGTAGAAGCTGGGAGTATAGCTCTGGTAGAGGACTTACCTGTCACATGTGAGGTCCTGGGTTCACAAGCATTGCAGGGAAAAAAAAAATCCCATTCGATCTTCCTAATAAACAACATTAATTTAGTTTTATAAATGGGAAAACTGAGTTTAAGAGTTTAAGTAACTCATGCAGAGGCCTTACAACTGGCAAGTGGCAGAACTGGGATTTACACTTACATCTGGCTTCAGAACCTGGAAGTTTCCTAGATTTTAATGATCCCCAGACATGCAGGGCGAACCCTAGAATGCCGCTCTTATAATATGGACTCAGTCTGGGATAGAAGTTTGTGCCACTTGGGGCATCCTTGCTGACTCTGGGAGGAACTTATTTCTTGACCCAAGAGGGAAGGGGCAGGACCATTTCATGAGGGCACAAAGATGCTATCTTGGCAACAGGCAGAAAGGAGCCAAGACTTTTTCTCCCTATAGGCCACTCCAGAGGGAGCTTGTATCATCTGAGTTCCAGATGACTCGCCTGAGCCCTGAAAGGTGATGTTGAGGAAGACTGCTAGGTGATGCTGAGATTGAGCTGGAATAGTCTGCAGAAGCCTGCAGTCCACGGACAGAGGCCTTTGGCCAGGGGAAGCTCCTGGGGTAACATTCAGTGAACCAGAGGAATCCACTTGGTGGCCAGGGCTGCCCCCTTGGTGCAGAATGAGGCAGGACACACAGATGGAGACCTTGGGATACAGCATGGATGATGTTCATGTCCTTTTGGCTATGAAGGCCTGAAGGACCCAAAGCAATTTATGTTTAGAGATTCAGTTTTTGTTTACTTAAACTTTTCTAAGCCATGTCTTTAGGCAAGTGTTGGTGGTGCACTCTTGTAATCCCAGCACTTGGGAGGCTGAGGCAGGAGAATTGCTGTGAGTACAAGGCCAGCCTAGCCCACAGAGCAAGGCCCTGTCTCCATCCATAAACAAACAAACAAACAAATCAAATCATTAACAGAGTATAAATACATGTCTCTTATCTACTCCTCTGAATGTTGTGGGTATTGAAGTAGGGGCTAGAGCAAAGATAATATAATTAATCCCTCCACATCTCCTCCAAGTAACTCTGCTTGTCTGCCCAGCCTTCCTGATTACACGTCTATTGATGCTGCTTCACATTATGGTACAAGCTGTTGGTTCATATTTAGCTTGTGGTTGATCTAAACCACCAACCTTTTTCATACTAACTGCTATCAGGCCGGTTCTTCCCAGTCTACAGTACATGTGGAACTGAGTAAAAATGAAACAAAACAAAATTTCAAGATGGTCCACATAAAATTTAATTTTTATTTTAGCCTACTGAATGATTAAATTTTTTTATTCACCACTTTTTATAATAATTCCCTATGCAGCTTTGTATTATCTGCAACATTGATCAGCCTTGCTCATTTTGTCCTACTAGGTAATGTTTTATCTTAAATAGGACAAAATAGAGTCCTGTGGCATAATGCTGAAAAAAGATGCCCAAAGTGGGGTCTGGGACTCCTGGAGGTCCTGAGGCCCTTTCATAAGGTGTGTGAGATCAGAATTATTTTTCTAATACTGTTAAAATGAACTTCTCAGTCATTCTTAGGAACTGTGGGGTTTCCCAGATGCTACCTGACTGTGTTGTCATAATAGACCATTTGCAGAAACAGTTATGTGAATCCAGCTGTCTTTATTTCATGATCAAAGAATCAATGTGGGGAGTCTACCAAATGTTGAGAATATCTACTCAGATACCTACTATATTAGTCTGACTTTTGGTATTACAATGAAATACCAGAGGCAGACTATTTTTTAAATTAATTAATTAATTAATTAATTTTATGGTACCGGGGATCGAACTCTGGTCCTTACGGTTGCGCAGCAGGTGGCAAAACCACTGAGCTAAATCCCCGGCCCCAAAGCCAGACTATTTTATAAAGTAAAAGGCTTCACTGGAGATTTGGCTCAGTGATTTGGCTGCCTGCTGTGCAAGCACAAGGACCCGAGTTTGATCCTCGGTTCAAAAAAAAAAAAGTTAAATGTTTGGGGCCGGGGATCTAGCTCAGTGGTTCTACCGCCTGCTGCCAGCCTCACAGGCACAAAGACCTGAGTTGGATCCCTGGTACCAAAAAAATAAATAAATAATAAAGTAGAAGGTTTCTTTTGGCTTATGGTTCTGAAGCTTCAAGGTCAAGGAGCCTCATCTAGTGATGGATTTTTTTTAATTTTAATTTTTTTTTTTTTTTTGGTACTGGGGATTGAACTGGGGTCCTTGCGCTTGCGCAGCAGGCGGCAAAACCACTGAGCTAAATCTCCGGCCCTAGTGATGGATTTTTTGCTGGTAGAGTCTCAGCATGATGCAGAGTATCATAGCCAAGAGAAGAAGTATGTCATGTGTATGTGTGTCTCTTCTGCTTTCCCTCTCTTATAAAGCCAGTAGGATTTAATCATGGGGGCTCCACCTTAATGGCTTTATCTAATCCTAATCATCTCCCAAAGGCCTCACCTCTAAACACCACAGTTGGATTAAATTTTCACCCTCTCAATATCTCACAATGGAGATTAAGTTTCAACAATTCCAGGGGACAAACCATATTAAAACTGTATCCCCTACTGAGTATATTTAAAGTGCAATGTGTTTCCACCTATGTAATCTGGAGGTGTAAAAATAATGATACAACGGGTTCTGGGAACCATTGGGTTGGTGTGAGATGAAGCCAAGCTAAAACTGTGTAGACCAACTGACTTCCATAAGCCCCATTCTGAATGTAACACACAGTGGCAATTTGGTTCTCTAGGAATTAGTATCAATTCAGAGCCAAGCTTCAACAATTCCTAGAAATCTGATTACTTTCCTTTCCCAGTGCATAGTAACTCTGTGTAATGACAGCAAATGTCTCTGGAAAAAGGCTCAGAGGAAGATTTAGAGCACAACATTTTGGCAGTATAGCAAGTCCTTCCTCAAATGGGCCTTGGGGCTTGTGAACTATCTCCCATGGTAAAATTGGTCAAAGGGCTCTTACTGTCTATTGTCAGAGTCAGATTTCTGTTCACCACTAGAGGTTTTCCACTGGTATAAACCAAGTACGACTCTAGTAGGCTGCCTATCCATTTTGGTCCTTGAGATACTCTGGTCACTGAGTTAAAGCCAGAGCTCTGCAGGCCAAAGCACTTGATGCCTGATTTGGCTCTGCTGTCCATTTACAGTAACTACACTAATTCTGTCTTGTTAGTAAGTGCAAGCACTCAGCTGGCAGCACCCTGATATCCCATCATTCCCACTGCATCAATTCAGCAAGCCCATTTTGATGATTGTATTCCCCACTCCATGCCTTAGCTTCAGAATAGCTACTACAGAGCTCTTCAAGATACTGTGTTCTCAGCCAGGGATTTAACTCAGTGGTTCTGGTGCCTTCCTCGAAATCACAAGGACCCGAGTTCAATCCTCAGTACCAAAAAAAAAAAAAAGGTACTGTGTTCTCACCAATGCATTTCTGAAAACCCTGTGAGGGGAGCATCCTCTGGACCGTATTAGAGAATATAGTTAGCTGGTTACACTTTATAAATCCCTTCTAGCGTTCTGAATACCTTCCTCTTCTGTACTGGGAGTTCTGACAGCTCAGGTTCATTCAGTAGGAGCCTTCTTTGGGCTCACCAGCAGACTGTTAGAGCTCTTCCCAACCTGCATGAACAAATGCATTCAATCCAGAATCTCTGCTTAGTACACCTGTTTTGCCTTCTTTGATGAGATAGTCACATGCAGCCATAAGAGGAGACAGAGAAGAGGTCCAGGAAAACAAAACTTATTGTACCTGTGCTCAGGTGCTGGAGGCAGGAGGCAGGGCATCCCACGCAGGGTCACATAGGAAAGATGTCAGGGTGGTTAGGTGGCAGAGGCAGGAGTGAGAGGAAGGTGTAGGCCTTTATCGGGGTTTCTATAAAGGCAAGGACAAGGTCTACAGTTTAGGACTGGCTAGTTTGAATAATTTCAGTGACTTTGGCTTACAAGTGTAGTTCCTAGTTAGCTGGCACTTGGCCAGGGGTAAATAGAGACATTTGAGGGTTAAGGGATCAGATAGAGGCCATCTGGCTCTGGTCTGATTAGGGTGCATATCAAATACATGGGTTGGCTGGGCCCTTTGCCATCTCTAAGAACTGGCTAACCCAAGGAAGGGCAGTTGCCCCCCACTTGAAAGTGTTTTTTTGTTTTTTGTTTGGTACTGGGGATTGAACTCAGGTCCTTGTGCTTGTGCAGCAGGTGGCGAAACCACTGAGCTAAATCTCCGGCTAAGGTTTCAATGGCCTTTTTTTTTTTTAGTACCAGGGATCAAACTCGGGTCTTGGGTTTTGGGTTTTTGAGCCAGGATCTTGCTATATAGCCCAGACTGGCCTTGAACTCACTATGTAGCCTAGGCTAACCTTGAACTCATGGTGCTCCTCCTGCCTCAGCCTCTCAAGTGCTGGGATTGTGTTCAGTTCCAGAAAGGTTTTTTTATGATGCCAAAACATCATAACATACGAAAATATTAAAAACACTTATAAATAATTCAGCCAAATCTGAAATTATATTCCCTTATTCTTTTTTTTTTTTTGGTCTGGGACCAGGGATCAAACTTGGGTCCTTGTGCTTGCAAGGCAGGTGGCGGAACCACTGAGCTAAATCCCCAGCCCCTATTCCTTTATTCTTTTTTTTTTTTTTTGTACTGGGAATCAAACTCAGGACCTTGCGCTTGCAAGGCAGGAGGCGGAACCACTGAGCTAAATCCCCGGCTATTCCTTTATTCTTAATCTAACACCTTTAGGATCCATTCTTACCCAGACTCACTGGGTTTTTGTCAATATAAATTGACATTTCAGGGATCTGGAAGAAAGCTAAAGAGAATCATTGCTGTTGCTTTCTCCAGAGCTGGGCATCGAACCCAGAGCCTGGAGCATGCTAAGCAAGTTCTCTACCATTGAGATACATCCTCAGCTGTTTGTACTGTTTATTATGTCGAAACAATGTACAAATCGACAAACTTTCAATATGTTTTTGGTGTGTATGGTATTTCCTCAGGGGTGATCCTGGGGCCTGCTGTGACTTGATGTTAAAAGAGGTGGTTTTAGGTTCCAGGAAGATCAACTGGGCCCTGCAAGGCACTACCTCCAGGGAGGTCATTACAGGTTCTGCAGGTAAGGGGAGATGAACTAGAGATATAGAGGAAGGGTCACTTTTTTGGTGAAGGAGGATCCACAGAATTTAGGGTTTGAGGTCTTCAGCGTCTTTGGAACCTATCCATATGTGTTCCCATCCTAAGATTCTGCATCTCATTCTTTCCCAGTCAATGTCTTTTGTTGTTGTTGTTTTGGTACCAAGGATCAAACTCGGGACCTTGTGGTTGTGAGGCAGGCAGCAGAACCACTGACCTAAATCCCTGGGCTCCAATGTCTTATTTTTTAACATAAGATACCCTGCTAGGTTATAAATTCAATGTGCATTGAAATTCAGTCTCCAGCAACTGGAGACTTAGGGTTAGGTTATTAGAAATCTTGACCCTTAGGGTATAAGAGCTAAGAGTTTCTTTTAGGGCAGTAATTTTGGGGTTTGGTCCCTTTCCCTGACTTTGAAATGGGAATTTAAAGCCCTGAGCTCATTTTCTTTCTCCAAACTTTCTTTATAATTAGCAGTAACTAACATTCTTCAATACATTACTATTTCTAACAAAATGTCCTATGGCGGTAAATATTTGTTTACCCAAAGCCTTGACTTCTACCTATGAGCATTTATCACAGGGGTCTACAGGTGAGCAGTTAAGTAACTTTTGACCACTGACAATAATCATGAATGCATTTAAATTCAGACAGATTTGGAGGACAAAATCCAAATTCTCATCCTTAAAAGTCTGTGCCTGGCCAGGTGTAATGACACATGCCTGCAAGCTTGACTACTTAGGAGACTGAGGCAGGAGGATTGCAAGTTAGATTTCAACCTGGACAATTTAACAAGGCTGGCTCAAAATAAAATTTTTAAAAAATGTTGGGGATATAGCTCAGCACTTCCTGGGGTTAAAAAAAAAAAAAAGAGCGTGTCTCTGAAACTGTAGCCAGAATTGATAAATGTATTGTCAGGGAAGCAAAGCCACTCTGAATGATGAGATAAGGAATTGACTGTAGGATAATTCCTTACATAATCGTGGAAGGAGCTGGGGAAGTGAAGGACCAGGACAGTACTCAGGGGATCAGACAAGGAGCCACCAATGTGGGAAGTGAAACACATGACAAGGGACTGTGACGAGAAAGCTCTTGAGGGTCTGTGTGGCTGTCCCCTCTGTGGGTCCATAACAGAGCCCCAACGGTAGGTCTGGGACTATTGGTGGTGATAGCTGGAAAGAGTTCTGCATACTGATCAGAGCAAGGGACAAGCTCACTCACACTTCTGTCACCGCATCTAACTACAGTGACCTTCAGGGAATAATACTTGTTGCCTCATTTCTGCCTTCCAGATCTTACACAAATTTTTCTTTTGGTGAACTCTAACCTGAAACCATTCAGGGGAGGGGATTCTGGGAAATAGTTCCAACGTAACCAAGCACCTGCTGCAAACCACAGAAATGTGCAGAGTGTGAACTTGGCTCCAGACTGTGAGAAAACAACCCAGGAATGACATCTAGGGGTCCTTTTGTGGTTCATAAGCAGGCTGGTTGAGTTTCCCTGCTATCGTGGGAGAGGTATCTCCTTTAAACCTTGTAACAATGTCAGCATATTACCTGTCTGGTGTGTGTGTGTGGGAAGATGTTCTGGGAAAATGTGGATAATTTTCATATAGATTAGCTGTTAGATGATTAAAGTGGATTAATGTTAGTTTTTTTGTGTGTGATAAAAGCATTGTGGTTATCTAAAATAATGTCATTCTTAGGAGTTATGTGCTTTAATATTTAGGGGTGAACTTTCAAATGGGTTAATTGTTTTTTCTTTGAGGTAGGGGCATGCTACGCTGTCCAGGGTGGCCCTGGACTCACTGTGTAGCTCAGGCTGGCCTCAAATTCACAGAAATTTTCCTGCCTCAGCCTCCTGAGGGCTGGGATTACAGGTCTGCCCCAATATGCCCATCTAGCATTTGTATTATCTATTAAGTGATGACAAAAATGTTAACAATTGTATAATTTAGGTAGCGGACAGCTTTTTTGTGTGTTTGAGAATTTTTATAATAAAATAAAAATTGCTCTCAATTATTACTTCCTTGGAGGCCTTCCCTGACCATCTCTGTTATGGTTATGTTCATTCTTCCAATCTGCAAGCACCCAGATATAGCTCTGAGTTATTTATCATGCTGCAGTGTAAGTGCTTATTCTGTGGCTTCTTATCTTACCCCTCTAAACTTTGAAGTTCTTCAAAGACAAAACTGCTGTCTTTCAGCTCTAACTCTGTGCATCCTCTGGCACAGAGTAGGTGACCCATTCAGTCTCTTTCATTCAAGAACAGAAGAAAGGGAAATTTAACAATTTTCTTCAGAACCACCAACTTCAGGTTCAAGTGAACCCAAGAAGAGCAAAGTTTTGGGGCTTTAAATTTTTGTTTCAAATTGCAAAAGTAATATATGCAAATTAAAATAATTTACAATTGAAATAAGAAGTGAAAATTACTATTTCATTTCTGTCATATATATACTCTATCTGAAGTCAAGAGTTTAGTATGCTCCAGAACTATTTCTGTGCAATTATAAACACATATACTCTTTTGCACATGGACACACACACACACACATCCACACACACATACATCCACACATACATACACTTACCCTACTATGAAGGTTGTCTGGTGACTTACTTTTTGTTTGTTTGTTTTGTTTTTAGTTTTTGGTACCGGGGATCAAACTCGGGACCTTGCACTTGCGAGGCAGGCAGTGAAACCACTGAGCTAAATCCCTGGCCCTGGTGACTTACTTATTGAGGGAGGTGTTGGAGATTGAGCTCAGGGCTTCTCACATGCTAAGTACATGTTCTACCTCTGAGGTACATTCCAAGTTCCTCCTTTGGTAACCTGGTAATATATCATGGAATTTACCCCATCAGTATATAAGTAGATCCACATCATTCTCCACAGAGGCTCCATACTAATCCGTCGTATGGATGTGTGTTAACTTATTTAATTGGCACATTTGGATGAACATGTAGGGAGAGGAGTATTTTCTACGTGAAACCAGTAGTCAAGACAAAAAGGGACCTGGCAACTCCAGTGATCAAAGGGGTAAGAGTAGCTCCTTGACCTGTGGATATGAAGTCAGGGTAAATAGCAAAGAAGGAACTTTACCAAACATCTCAGCTTACGAAAACATGTACCAGTTCCCCATGATGAATGTAATTATTATGTACTGCTAAAATGTACGGATAAAAAAGGAAAGACTTGGTCTGCTCAAGGAACGAAATAACACAGAAGAGAGAGCTCTAAGCATGAAACTGAGCCAGACCAACTGACCAACACGAGACCCTGTAAGCACCTAATCTGTGTGCACTGAGATACGTTCCCACTGTTTTAACCTGGTCCCTCCAACCTGAAGCAGCCAAGGGCAGACTGCACACAGTCACAGCTTCCGGGGAACAAGTGAAAGTGCTAAGAGTATGGGGCTGGTTCACCTTGGAGGAGAAAGTCCCACTGCTTTCCCAGTGACAACAGAAAGTTACCCAGTGATAACAGGAAGTAGTTGATGAAATCCCACTAATGTTTCTAAGGCAGGTCAGTCTCATCATTTTGAGGACTCTGCTTGTGTTTCCCCCATCTATTGCTCACGTCCAAAGGAAACATCCTTGTCCTACATCCCTTGCTCCTTCCTGAGTCCTCACCCCAACTATCTAATCTCATTTGCCTCAATCCCATCCCTCCGTTCTTTCTTTTTTCTTTTCTTTTCTTTTTTTGTTTTGTTTTTTGAGACAGGGTCTTGCTTTGTAGTTCAGGCTGGCCTCAAACTCACAATGTAGCCCAGGCTGGCCTTGAACTCTTGGCAATCCTCCTGCCTCAGTCTCCAAAGTGCTGGGATCATAGGCATGCGCCACCACACCCGGCTCTTTCTTCTCTTTTGTGGTGCTGGGGCTAGAACCCAGTGTCATGTGCCTGCTAGAAAATTACATTCTTGGGCCCTCCTTATTTCTAATGTTCACCTGTGTCTTGCACACACAGTCACAGGGTCAGTGCAAAGACGATAGACTGCAGTGAAGCTAGAAAATGTGCTATAAAATCTTGACAGGCATAAGCCCATCCATGTCCATTACCTGCACTACC